GCAAGTTGCTTCCAAGGACTGACAACCATCAGCCTGCCTAGGCCATGGTTCTTAGAATAGTTTTTGGAGGAGGCCTGAGAGGCACACGGGAAGCTTCTGACAGTGGTGCATGTCTGCCCATCTACCAGAATGTTAGTGAAGAGGCTGGTGCCTATGACTTTAAAAATGGATTTTGGACTGGAGAGTTAAGAGCACTGGCTGCTCTTCCAAAGGACCCAGGCTCAATTTCCAATACCCACATGGCAGCTCACAACCATTTTCGACTTCAGTTCCAGAGGACCCACAGGCATACACGTAGGCAACACACACACACACAGACACGATGAGCAAACTTTCATTTTTTAAATAGAATAACTGATACTGATTATCTCAGAAGGTCGTGAGAACCACTGATTGACAGCAGCCAAGTGCCCACGTGCATATTCTTGGTGGCACAATATGAGGTACTCACAAAGAGGACAACCCTACTCTTAGCCAATACAATTGGATGTTTCTTTCCCTACATCTGCCTCCCCACAGTGGGAAACAGCCTTCAGGAATGGGATCTGGATTACTGCAAGTGGTTGGTCCTGCTGGAGGGGAAGCTTGTAGGTTGGAGTGGTGTGGGGAGGTGGTGCCTGGGACAGGCAGGATAACAGAAGATCAAGTGATGGGGCTGGGAGCTGGGGAGCATGGCAGAGCCAGCCGCTGGCTCGCTACAGTGCCAGGGAGAATTCCCCTCAGACCCAGCACAATGTGGACTCAGATGCTACTGGCAAAGTCGGTCTTTCAACTGCTTTTCTCTCCCAGGCCTGTTGGCTGTTCTCCAAACATCAAGCATGCAAACTCTGAGGAGGACATGCACTGGAAATGCAGGGTTCAAGACCCAAGGGTCTGCCAGACAGTCAGGGAAGAGATGCAACTTGATCCTTCCTGCTCTGTGGGCCAGCCACACAGGAGCTCTTCCTCCGGACTGTGATTCTATTATACACCCACATCTGTAGAGTCAATTAGTCTTTCCTGGTGTGAGCTAAGCAGATCGGTGGCCATTTATCCAGAGTGTATAGCCTTTGCATGAAGACCAAGTTGTCATAATTAAACCCACAGGCTCCCGGACAGTCAGAGTCAACAGGGAAGTAGTTCTTCTACTAGGGACTAGTTGAGACAGGGAGTCAGAATGGTTGCTATTAGGAGCGGCAGCTGGAAGGGAGATGTGGGGGTCAGTGAAGGAGAAGGCATGGAAGAAGTCTCTTCATGGGAGACTTGAGGAAGAACTTCTGAGGAGGTCAGGGCCTTTGTTACCTAAATGGTGGGCAATAGGAAGGCTGGGGCACAGAAGCTTGTTTAGGAGATAAATGTAAAAAACTTTTATTTAGAGGACAGCGAAATGGGTCAGCAGGGGAAGGTGTTTGGCATGCAAACCTGGCAACGTAAATTTGATCCCTGGAACCCATTTAATAGAACCAATTACACAAAGTTGTTCTCTTACCTCTACACACACACAACACACCACACACACACACACCACACACACACATACATTTAGATGTCCCTGTCACCAGGAACTAAGATGGCTTGGGGAAGGGGTGTCTACGATTTAAATTCCCAACAATGCATTACACAGAGTGGGGGTGTCTGCATCAGCTCACACCTGCAGAACAGTGGCCTTTAATCCCACAGGAGCCTTTGGATGTTCTCTGGCATTTTCTGTCCTAATGGAAAAGCAGCCTGGAAAAGATCAAGGTTCCCTTCCACCTGGCACAGACAACCGTGCACAGAACTTTTAATCATCTATAGAGAGCTGCAGGCTCTCAGGGGAAAACTCGTCACTCCTGGCTAATGAGGCCCTGGCCATAGTCAGTGTGGAAAAGAGGACAGAGAAGGCCACTCTGACCTCTGCGAGGCCAGTAGAAAGCACAGTGACAGGGTGGCATCTGGCTCAGGATCAAAGGTCTCCCCAGAGCAGAGGCAGCAACCCACAACTATAATCTTTGGTTCAAGGCCTGAGCATCCTACAGAACGGGCTCCAAGACTGACTGGAGTGGTTATCAGTAATGTCGGTGTTAATCACTGTGCCTTCCACACTGCCTGCTAGGGCTGGAGTTGGCCTAACCAGTTTGGAAGCTACTGGACAGAATCTACAAGTGCCGAGCATGTCAGTGACGTATACCATGGCCTGGCAGTTACATTCCCAGGGACATGCACAGCACTGTGTACACACGTGCTTGCCAAAAGACACAGACACATCCATAGCAACCGTACTGTAGGACCTGGTGTTCACTGACAGTATTGCGGATAAGTTCCATGTAGAATGCCACAAAGTCAGGACACTCAACAGACTACGGCATGCAGCAAGTTGCAGTAAGATCTGAGTGAAAGAACTACTGGATTTCATTTACATAAAGAATCTTAGGTAAATACTCAAAGCCAATCTATTAAAGATATACTAAAAACCACTGACTCGCCTGCTTTGGTTTTATTTATTTATTTATTATTTTGAGACATTTTCTATGTATTCCTGACTGACCCAATTCTGTGCAGTCCAGGATGGCCTCAAATTTGCAAAAATCCTCCCATATTAGTGTCTCAAATTCAGGGATTACAGATGTGTCCCTTTGTATACTTTACATAGTAAAGTATATGATTTGTGAATACCTGTTACATTAAAAAATCTGTTGAATTTAAAGTCAGGATAGAGGTTACCCTTGATGGAGACTGAGCAGGGAAAAAGAGTCAGTGACAAGAGCAAGTTCAGGTGTGACGACTCTGGGTACCAGAGCAAGCCTATGTGTGTACACTGTACCTTAATAAAATTGGCAATGAAAATAAACACAAACAGCCAGGCGGTGGTGGTGCACCCCTTTAATCCCAGCACTCAGGAGGAAGAAGGTGGATCTGAGTTCAAGGCCAGCCTGGTCTACAAAGAAAGTTCCAGGACAGCCAGAGCTACACAGAGAAACCTGCCTTGAAAAACTGAAAAGAAAGAAAACAACCACAAACAAAATAGGCCTGGCCTTAGTGCTCAGGGTGATGACCAGATACACTTACTGACTTTAAGAAAAGTCCCAAGTGCCCCCACAGCACCCGGGAAAGGATCCCAGGTTTATAAGGATGAGGTTTCCTATCTCGCCAGTGAAACACCACCTGCAGAATGCACAAAGTTCTCAGAGAAGGCAGAGCGTCTGCCGCCTTTTCTTCCCCAGGCTGAGGCAGGCCTCAGAGCCAGGGAGCATCTTACCTCAGCACAAAGGCTGGGCTGTGACTCTTGTGATGTGTCACAACGTGGTCCTCCAAGCATCTGTTCTGCAGCCTCTGGTTCAAAAGTGGGCATGTCTTCACCTGAAGGAAGACCTCTATGCCATCTGCCTTGGGTAGACAAGCCCATAGGGATGTCTGCCAGAGCCCAGTCCTTCCTGTCCCTAAAGCTCCACCCAGAATCCTCAGGGTGGGCTTGGGGGACCTGTCAGTCGCTGCTTACCTTCGAGAACACCTGAGCCCTCAGAAAACGAATCTCACAGGGAGAGTCCTGAGCTTGGGGGATTCAGGGAGGCTGCAGGCCCACGTGGGACACAGAAACTGCCAAATCCCTTTCGCTCAGGCAGCTCTCATTAGAGGTGAGTCCTCACCGGTCAGACCTCCACGGGATGGCTGCCATGGCAGAGGGGCTTGTGTTCCAGGGATTTGATCCAACTTTGGATTTTAAAACAACTTCACTGTGAATCTGACACCTGCTAGAGACCCATATCAATAAGCAATGTTCACTTATTCCTGGGCAAATATCTGCAGGCACATGCACTAGTTTCAGTCGGCACAGGCCCTGGGGGAGCAGAGGAGTGTGGCCAGGCCCTGTCCGCCACCAGACCATGATCTGGTGTCCAGGGAGAGGCTGGGACGTGACAGACAGTTCATTAAGAAGATGAGGAAGAGCAGCAATAACCAGAGCTCCATCCTCTTGCGGGTTTGGTTTTTTTATATTTTTTTTTTTTTTTTTTTGCACAACCCAGTTTTCTTTGGACTTAACCTGTCTCACAAGTCTGGATTTCTGTGGTTTGTGTTGGGAACAGACAGTAGCTCATCTCTAGCTCTCCAGGTGACGAACTGTGTCTGAGATACTCATAAAGAAAAGAGAACCCACTACTACTGTCCAAGCGGACTCAAAGAATAATAAACTTGAGAGGCTGAGGCAGGAGGATTGTCTTGATTTAGAGGCCAGCTCAAGCTACACAGTGAGAACCTGTCTCAAAAAATAAAAAAAAACAAAAACAAAAAAAAGAAGCAGGGCATGGTGGTGCCCTTTAATCCCAGCACTCGGGAGGCAGAGGCAGGTGGATCTTTGTGAGTTCAAGACCAGCCTGGTAAACACTGAGTTCCAGGCTAGCCAGGGTTACATATTAAGACCCTGTCTCAAAAACAAACAGACTAGAAGAGGATTCCAGAAGATCGCTTTCTGCTGTTTGTAACAATTAGAGGTGAGTTTACTGTCTGCCACAGACACTGGCAACTTAGTCTAGCTTACTATGCACAGACAGATCTACCAAACCAACATGCACAGCAACAAACACTAGCTGATCCTCATCTTTTTCCTAGGTCTGTGTTACAGGAAGTAACATATCAAAGTCAAGTCAGCTCCTGTGTGATTCAGTTATCAAAACAGACCTAAATATTTCCTTTTAAATGATCCAGGATATTTAGCTGAAACCCCTAATCCAACTGCCACATTGACCCCTAGAGAAACTCTTTCTTTTGAAGATTTATTTATTATGTGTATGTGTTCTGCCTGCAGGCCAGAAGAGGGCACCAGATCACATTACAGATGGCTGTGAGCCACAATGCGGTTGCTGGGAGTTGAACTCAGAACCTCTGGAAGAGCAGCCTGTGCTCTTAACCTCTGAGGGATCTCTCCAGCCCTTGTAGCGGCACTGGGAAGTATTGGTTCACGCGGGTCTCCTCTGGAGCAGTCCCAGAAACAGGATAAAGCAACAAAGAGCAAGTCACTTTGCACACCAAAGAGCATTCATTACCTTGGTCCCATGGTAGAAGTCGTCCACACACGTGGCATTCATGAAGGTCTGGTGGAAGTGGGTGCTGGTGTCAATGCCTCCAGGGATCACCAGCTTCCCGGTGGCGTCGATCACCTTGGCCCCTCCGGGGATCATGAGCTCGCGGCCCACCTGCTGGATGATGCCGTTCTCGATGTAGACGTCCGCCTCATGGGTGCAGTCATCGTTCACCACCTTCCCCCCCTTGATGAGAATCCTCACGCTGGCTGAGTTGGCGAGCATGTTCCTAGGGAAGGTAAGCGCAATTTGGTTAGGGCCACTGCGTTTGGTGACAGTTCGTCATCACCAAAGCCCACACCTTCCTCTCAGAGCTCAATTTCGTAGCCAGGGAATAGAGATGGGTAGCCTGAACAAAGAACTAGTCCTGTAGGAAGTTCCGTTCACAAGCCTTTCCCTGTTCTCATTGTGGGTTTTTAATGGGACTTGTGACACAATGGTGTTAATATAGAAGCTGGGGGGACTGGGGACCACAGAAACATCACTTTTAGGTGTGTACAAGGACACAGGCATGGATGTAAACACATGTGGAGGTCAGAGGTCAACCGTGGGTGTTACACCTCAGGCGTTGCTCACTGTCTTTTCTTTCTAAAAAACAATCTTTTTTATGCGTATGAATATTTTCCCTACATATATGTATGTGCACCATGTGTGTGTCTGGTGCCCAAGGAGGTCAGAAGAGGGTTGTAGGCTCTCATGGAACTCATGGAACTGATAAACACTATGGCCAAAAAGCAACCTGGGGAGGAAATGGTTTATTTCGGCTTCCAGGTTACAGTCCACCATGAAGGAAAGCCAAGGCCAGAGCTCCAGGCAAGAACCCGGAGGCAAGAGCTGAAGCAGAGGGCTTGGAGGAGCACCACAAACTGGCCAGCTCGGCCTCCTGCCTTATACAGCCCAGACCCACTTGCCCAGGGGCAGCACCACACAAGATGGACTGGACCCTCCTACACAACTGGCAATTCAGAAAACGTCCCAGAGACATGCCCACGTGCCAATCTGACGGAGGCAACCCCTCAGTTGAGGGCCCCTCTTTTCAGGTACGTCAAGCAGACCAGTGGAGCTCATCCTGACAACATGCGGAACCAGTAACTAAGTAATGAAAGACCTCAGCTACTAACAGCACGCGGGGTAAGCAATGTGGCTTAAAGCATGACCGGCAGGCCGGTACCAGAAGTTTCTGGAACATCTGGTAATCTTGGACACCAGATCATGGTAACACAGCAAAGTACTGTGATCAGGGCCAAGGAAGCTACAGATTTTCTCTCCCATCCTCCTCGCTTCATTTTGCCCACCACCAAGCAAGTTCAGGTCTTGGGATCTGGGGAAGAGACATCTCTTGCAAGAAGACTCATCAGCCACCTGGAGTGTCCGGCTTGCTCCCCTGTGTACAGTTGGTTAGAGGAGAGATCTCGCGTTTCTGCCAGCTGCCTAGGCCAGCACGCATGAAAACAACCCCAAGAGAACTTCCAGCGCCCTCCAAGACCAGCCACCAGGTGCTAATGAAATGTTGGGGGACAGCTGTGGCAATCAGGAGCTGTCGCCCAGGGGAGTGCCGGGACACACCGCAGGTGACTGGGAGTGATGGCTGTCCTCCTTGAACATCTGCTCCCTGCAAGGTATCATTCTGACCCTGGGGGAGAAGGGGCCTTGCTCCCCAGTGTGGGAGGCACTGGCAAACAGGCTGTGGAAGGGAGTTGAAATAGAGAAGCTGGGAAGATGGGGAGTAGCCTGTTGTTGTCTGAGGCCAAACACACTGCATGGACTCTTTTGCCCCACAGTTAAATGGAGTCTTAACTTTATAACAATCTGAAACGGAGTTGGTTCTTAGGTAATGGGGAAAACTACTCAGGCCAAATTATTTCTTTTGCTTTCTTCCCTTCTTTCTCATTATAACATCAAGCCCAGCTGTAATGAAGAAGGGGTAGGCCCAGTTTTTATGACAAGATAATGATGGGGGCAGGGCAGAGGGGAGGAGGTGCAGGCACATAACCCTTGCCTTTCCAAGCATATTCCTGTTTCAGAGGACAATACTGGTTTGCCTTGGTGCTCACAGCGCATGTGTGGGGGGCAGGAAACCTTACGGGGGATTCTGCTCTGAGCTCTGCCACTGGAATCAGAAGTCAGGAGCGCTGTCTCCCATGGAAACAGCAGCGTGACTGTCAGTACAATAACATCATGAGCACTTTCTGTGCAACCCTGTGAAGAGTGAGCACAGCACGAAGTGTTGGCCTGAGCTGAACAGGAGGAACAGGGGTTTGGAAAGGACGGGCAATGAGGACCTGTTAAAGGTCACACACTGGGGTGGGGGTGGGGGCAGGGATGTACTTCAGATTCAGGATGGGCAAGGAAGTTATAGTAGTGGGAACGCAGAGCTGGAAGCCCAGGTGACTACAATATTCGTCATAGGTCCAGTAGTTCCAAATGTCATATAGTAAACTTGTGTTGCTTTTATAATCGGAATATTCATATGTTTGCTTGTTTGGGCTTTTGTTGTTGTTTTGAGAAAGGGTCTCTCTATGTAACTCTGGCTGAATGGGAACTTCCTTGTAGACCAGGCTGGCCTTGAACTCTCAGAGATCCATTTACTGCTGCCTCCAGAGGCTAAAGGCTTGCACCAATGTGTCCAACTGATCTTTGAAAGCCTCCCCCTGCTCCCCTCCCCACAAAAGAGAGCCAGGCGTGAGTAAGCTGATCCAGGCCAGCTGGTGGGATTCAGACATGCCATCCTTTCTCACAGGAGCCATGGCTGTTCACAGGGCTCCAGCGCTCCCTCCCCTTCTCTCTGGGCTGCCACCATCTAAACAAGTGTTTCCCCCTACTTCCCAGCTGGAAATCCATGAAAGCAAATGCAGCCCTGACAGTTTCCCTGGAAAAGAGCAGGCAATCCTACACTTGCCCTGGTCTGGGAGACACCATTCCTACAGGGCTGGGCCAGCCTTAGGTAGTCAGGCTGGACCACACTTAGACCCACTGAGGAGAAATTCCTTCACTCTTTACTTAGCCACAGGAGGAGGGAGCTGTGACCAACACTTACTGCCCACCATCAGCATCTGCACCCAGACCAGGGGTCTGCACCCACACCACCGGAAGGCCTTGCCACTTCCGTGAGCCTGGCTGTCCTGGGGTCAACAACACGCATTTACTCAGGATTTCATCTCCCCGCCCCCCCCCCATGTCTCCCCACCCTCCAGTGTATATGCCGAAGCCGTATCCCCGGGGCAGATGGCCCTATCTAGAGATGAATCTTTAAAGTTAGATGAGGTTATAAATAGGATGAGGAACCCTGACCCGATGGGATTTGTGCCCTTGTAAGAGAAGAGACCAGATGGTCTTTTTCTTTTTTTTTTCTTTTTCTTTTAAGAATGTTAAAAAATAAAGATGGGAAGCCATATGAGAAGGCAGCCACCCACCAGTAGGACAGACCCTCCCCAAATTAAACTTCCAGTCTTGGAACTGGAAGCAAGTTAATTAAGCTTTCATTGTTTACTCCGCCCACTCTGTGACATCGTTACAGCATCCTTGGCATACAAATACAAACAATCACAGTCTTAAGCCATGCTACCAATATGGAAGCGGGATGACCTAGCCCCCAGATCTACAGCTGCCCAGTGGAGCCACTTAGGTATTAACCACAGCCTAGCCTTGAGGCGGGATGGGACCCAGTGCCCAGAGCCCAGTTCTGACTTGGGTTCTAGCTGCAGGAGGCATAGTGGATGGTTATCCTGGAAAACCCCCAACCTGCCCTGCCTTGTTCAGATAATACCAAGGCAAGGCTGTTTAATACATCCCCTGCTCAAACATCTGGAGGCTTATGTCCTTAAATGCAACACTGTAATCATTTGTAACTTCCTTTTTTTTTTTTTTCTGGACACAATTGTGGAAAAGACCCAGGGCCAGCTCTGAGGAAATCAAGCCTACTGTGTGAGGGACACACAGGTACCCACCTCACAATGGAAAAGTAAAGAGATAAACACCAACAGATACTGGTTTTAACTGGGTTCCTTCGCAGTCTACCAGACCAGAGCTGGCAAGGGTGAGACCCGCTGTTCAGTGATGGCTGGAGAGTCTTGTGACGTCAGTATTCTGCCACAGGTTTCTCCATTTTCCAGTCTGTGCCACCAAGATGCCAAGCCGGTCTACTTCCCCTGCCGTTGGCTGTTGACATTCATTAGGCTTCTCACCTCCCCCGTAACCTCATTAGCACCTGTTCTTACAGCTTGCCCCGCTCAGCTCTGCTAAACTAAACAAAAGGAGCATGTTCCTGGCATCTCTCCACAGCTCTGCCAGCCGGCTGCCTGTGGAAGGGTTTGGGACAGAACACAGTCGGCGTGATCCGCTGGTCTTTGGAGAGTCCCCCAAAGGGAAAGGTTTGAGGGCAATTGTAATATAGCTCTTTAGTGTCACCAATGCCCCTGGCTAATCTGTCCCTCTGCTCTGGTGCAGCAGCTGATCCAGGCAGCACTGTAGACAGAAGGTTCCGATCAAAACACAGAAACTGTATGGAATGTTAGGGTTGATTTTTTACCAGATCACCCCGTTTTTCCCCCAATCACACCGCAACGGCACAGACAGAGCCCGTATCTTTACACACTATAGAGTGCATGCCATGTCTCCTTCCTAAGCTTGAAACCTGGATCCCCGGGGCTAGGGATGGCACTCAGAGGTGGAGCCCTGGGAGGTAATGAGGTTAAAGGTGAAGCCCTTCCGATGGGATTAGTATGTTTACTAGAAGAAACAGGAGTGTGATATCCCGTTGTCGCTCTCTTCCCTGTGAGGATACAACATAAATGCACTCCCCACCTCAAAAGCCAGGAATGGAGCTCTCATCAAAAACCAAATCAGTGGATACCTTGACCTCAGCACTCCAGGCTTCAGAACTGTCAAATCACCAGTTCCATGCATTTTCGTTCTGACAGTGTGAATAGACTAAACGTCACACTGGACAGAAATGAGCACCATAGTTAAATCACCACTAAGGGACAAGTGGGCCTTGGAATAATTGGCACCTCATTTAGATGTGTCTGGCCATACATTTAACAGCAACAAAAATTTTAATCAGATGGTTATTTGTCTATGCAGGCAAAAGAATTCAGAACACATGTCTGTCCCAGGCAGAACTGATGAGAATGCCAGATAGTTAAAGCCGTTAAAATAACGCATGGCATTCCAGAACTACACCTGTCATCGGTTTGGTGTGACTCTGCCTCTAGTCTCTAGGCCTT